GAAAGCAATGGAAGCATGCCTTCAGAATTCTAGAAAGAAAGTGATTTTCAATGGCTAAATCTATATTCAGCCAAATAATCAAGGGAGAAGGTAAAATAATACATTTTTAGAGAAGCAAAGAGTCAGGGGTTACCTCCATGGACCCTTTCTTGGGAAGCTATTGGAGAAAATACTCCAGCAAAATGAAGGAGGAGACAAACCAGAGAATGACATGGATCCAGCAAATAGGATCCAACACAGGAAATATTCCAGTTATGGAGCTGGCTTTAAAAAGAAACAGTGAAAATATTAATAGGTTAGCTGGGTGGAATGGCCCCATGCCTGTAGTTCCAGCTACTCAGGAGTCTAAGCAAGAGGATTGTTTGAGCCCAAGAGTTCCAGACCAGCCTGGCCACCATACTGAGGTCCCTTCTCTTCAAAATAATAATAGGTTATTGCCAGATTTTGGGCATTTGGAAAGAAGTTCATTGAAGATAAAGCAAAAGTAAAAAAGCAAGGGGGAAGGGTGGTTAGGCAATCATTAATTCTAGGGCAGAAAGAAGTACAGGATAGGAAGTAAGAGCATAATACTCTGTTTTTCTCAACAATGAGCAATATGTACATAGTCATAATGATGTGGTGACTGCTTAGCCCCTAACTCTGGTAACTACTTTGGGACAATATGGGAGGAAAAGTGAAGATAGTGATGGTGTAAGAGCTAAATCCTCATCTGTCATATTAAAAAATCACTATAGAATGTATAAAATAATCAAGAAATGACTAAGTAGTTATGTGAGGAGAAAAACAGAAGACGTTGCTAAAAGAGTTGAAAGTCATTGCTCTGGAGGATTGGGAGGGATGGGGCAGGGGACGGTTAGGATGCATTATAAACTGAAGAGGCTTTTTAAAATTACATGTATTAATATATGCACCCACTTGAAAAATGGAAAAAATAATAATTTGGAAAAACCCATGAAGGCAACTACCAGAAGGAAAAACTAAGAGAATGAAAAGTGCTTGTCTCTGGAGAGAACAACTGTCAGGACTGTTGTTTTCATTGTAAGACGTTTGGAGCCATTTGATCTTATTTAACCATTTTCACATATATCTTCAATAAAAACAATTCTCTCTTAATAAAAAGTCATACTCATTCATAAAAAACAAACAAACAAAAAACAAAGAAAAAAACCCTTCCTGCCCAGACCATCTCGATCTCCTCAAATCCTCAGCGCTAATGAGGACTGTCTCCTTCTCACCTCCCTGGACTGGGCTTTTTACCACTGGAAAGTGGATGTGATTTCTAGTTTCTGCATGTCCTGATTTATTGTGCTGCCAGTAAAATAAAATCAAAACACAAACTGAATAAATAATAAATAAAAGAACCCATAGTGAGCAAAGGTTTACGATGTATTTTTTTATGTCAAGTTCTCACTCTGTGGCCTGGGCTGGAGTCCAGTGGTGCGATCATAGCTCACTGCAGCCTTGAATTCATGAGCTCAAAAGATCTTCCCACCTCAGCCTCCCCAATACCTGGGAATACAAGTGCCCACCACCATGCCCAGCTAAGTTTGCTTATTTTTATTCTGATTTAGAGACAAGGGTCTCACTATGTTGTTCAAGCTGGTCTCTAAAATTCCTGACCTCCGGCCTTAACGTCCTGAATTGCTGGAATTACAGGGGTGAGCTGTCATGCCTGGCTTGTAATGTACTGATGTCATCAAGGTTTCCTTCTCCAAGTGTGGACACAGCAGCAGATGCCCCTTGTCTCTTGGGTCAGGACACTGGGTAGAGTGGAATAGCAAGGCAACAAAGTCACTGCAGAAAGTGCCCATGCGGAAGAGGTCCAGCAGGGAGGGCCAGTTGTCCCAGGGCCACCATATTTAGGGACAACTCCTCTTTCTGGGCAGGACTGTTCTTTGATTACTTTTGTATTCGCAATAGTTCTGAAATTGTAGGATGATGAGACTCAAGACTGGCTAAAGTTTTGTTTTTTTGGTTTTTTTCCAAAAAACCATCTCTGAGATTTGTTGATCTCTTGAATATTTTTTTGTGTCTCAATTCCCTTCAGAAATTAACTTATTCTTAACATTTCACAGTCCACTTTTAATTAATAATGTACTAGTACCGATAAATATGGAAATCTTGTAACCACTTATCCTCTGTAAAATATCCATCTTTTGTGGTGTACATATTATATGCAATATATCTATATAGGTTATAAGTCCCACAAGAAAAGTTTTTTTCTTATCTTTAAACAGTTCTATGAATATAAAGTAAGAGTAAATGACAGGAGCAAGATAGCCTTTGAACTTAGCTCAATATTTACCATTTTTGATCATCTTCATATTTTCTGATAATCTCATTTTCCACCTGGTATCATTTGCTTCTAGCCTGAAGAATTTTCTTTACCAATTGTTATTGTACAGATCTGCTCATGAGAAATTCTCTTAATTTTCTTTTACCTGAAATATCTCCTTATTTTGTCTATCCTTGGAGGACATTTGTGCTGGATATAGAATTCTTTTTGACTTTTTTTCCTTCCAGCATTTTAAAGATGTTTTTCTACTTTCTTTTATTTCTATGGTTTTTAAACAAAAAGTAATTGGTCATGATAAGAGGAACAGAGAAACAAAAACTGGGAAAATAACATGGTAGACCTAAAACTTATCATGTCAATAATGACAAAAACCTGTATGAGTCAACACTCCAATGAAGGGCAGAGATTATATGATTTGGTTTAAAAAAACA